CTGCTGTTTAAAGACAGGCAGCCCATTTCTGAAAATACAGGACTGCACTTGGAAGCCAAGGCCAAAGGCAGCAGCCAATTAGAGAATGGGTGAAATTCCACTGGTGGATTGTGGCAAGCATGCAGTTGGAAGGCTAACCACAGGGCAGGGCACACTGGTCAGGGAAAGCATGTGGTTCCTAAAGGACCACGCAGCACATATGGGGAACCGTCCGAGGGGCTGGGGAGGGAGCTGGGCGTGGGCGGTGATTTGCACTGGGGACTGGATCAGCCTCCCTGTGTCAACATGTGGCTGGGATGTTCTGTCTACGGGAGCATGTCCGTGGAAAGGCTCCAACTCTTACGCCACCGCCTGGGGAGCTTGCTGAGCTGAAGCCATAGGACTTGGACACGCTGACGACCACCCGGCATTTCTGGACAGTCTGTCCCCTATGGATTAGCAGACCTCACTTTCCAAACCAAATAAATTTTAGTAGTTGTTGAGGGAGAGCGTGCCATCGAAGCAAAATACAAAGCCAGGGAGTTGGGCCTGCTGATGGAGAGGCTGCCCTCGGCCTCCCTCAGAGCACTGGAGCAGCAGGATCGGCGTTTCAGGGCACTAGGGGAGGAGGAACGGCTGTTCTGGGAGCACTGCAGGAAGAGCAGCAGCTGTTGCTGCCTTCCCAAGGGTTTTGAAAACAATGTTTAGGGGTTCACAGAGGCTGAGAAGAAATTTCCTCCTTATTCCTCTAACTCAGCTTTTACTGAGAAAGAAAGACTGGACACAGAGGATGCTAAGACCGCATTCTTCTGTGAAATATATTCCTGGATAAGTCAGAACTAGAGTTGCCACAGTGAAATACAAAGAGCATTCTACTTACAAGTGAATATTTTGAGAAATGGAAGTTGGTGGGCTTAGCCATCGGACCCGAAGTGTGCATTCCGTCAAATGGTGCCAAGGGCCCATGCACGGAATATCTTCCATAAACAACCAAGGTAGGGGCAACCCCTTCGGGTCCCCTCCCACTGTGCGAGGTTCTCTGTCTTCTCAATATACCCTGCTTTATCACTAAAAACAAACAAACAAACAAACAAAAAAACAACCAAGGTAATTGGCAGCCTCCTTGGTAAATTCACTTCACTTATTGCGTAAATTTTGAAAGAGGGTTAAGTAGGTAGAAGAAAGGATTTTTAAAAATTATTTTAACCAAGAATATTATGTTTTGAACTTCTCTCAAAATATCAAACACTTAGCCTTCTATTTATCTTTCTAAATTTTACTTTAACAAAGTCCTGGATTATAACCTTTCAAATAAAATGAAATGATAATACACATTCTAATTTGTAAGAGTTATATATCAAAAATGGAAATATTCTACTGGGACTACTTCCTCTGAATTAACTGTAAAAACAATGGTAGTTTTGAGCTCATCATTTTCCAAACGCAATGATGTAATAAAAATCCATTTGAAGGTAAAGGAGAAGACTCACTCATGACAGCAAAAAAATTAAAAACAAAAACTTAGGAACAAGGAATGCATAAAACCAATGTATGAAAAATGTATAAAACACTCTTTACAAACTACAAAAGCAATAAATAAACAAATAAAAAATAAATAAATAAATAAACAAAAAGACATGTTATTGGACAGGTGGACAGAAATCCTTAAAATCTAGCTCTCCCTACGTTAATCTATATACTTAATATGAGTCTTCCCCCAGATAACACTGGGTATCTTTCCTGGAGCTGGACAAATGATTCTCCAATTTCTCTCTTAAAGTATTTAAATAACAAATAACTGAAACAATAAATAATATTAACAAAATAATTTTAAAACAATAGTATTTTAAACAAAATTTAAGGTTCATAAGCAGTACATATCATTTTTAAATCACATCCACTTTGTACCTTGAATACAGAAACATGAATGCTTTGAATCTCATAACCTGAGACTGAAACCTGGAAATGACTACACCAGGGTGGATTTCCCACGAAGAAAGACACAGTGTTTTAAAACACTGCAGAGAAAGCAACTCCTGACTTGGAATCTTATTACCATAGTAATAAGATCATGCAGCAATTCTCAAAGTAGGGTCCATAGAATCCTTCTGGGGGAAGGAGAGGAGAACTGAGACCCTTTTGGGAGCTCTGTGAGGTCAAAACTATTTTCATAAAAATACTAAGATGGCATTTGCCTTTTTCCTTCTCACTCTCAAAAGCATACAGTGGAATCTTCCATAGGATACATAATGTGTGATGATGTTATTGCTGTGACACATAATGGAACACATGCTTTGTATGCTCTTGTGTTCTTCAGAATTTTTTAAGGTAGTATGTTTAGGATATAAATATGCATATTTTCAGAGATTAACTTTTGTCTCTGTTCTTCTACTGTACTCTTACTATCTTAGGCTATACCTGATATTCTCTATAATCCCATTATTTTTTTAACCCCAACTTTATTTTATTTTATTTTATTTTTTTTGAGTTGGAGTCTCACTCTGTCGCCCAGACTGGAGTGCAGTGGCCACTCCCGGCCACCGCAGCCTCGACCTGCCGGGCTCCGGCGATCCTTCCGCCTCAGCCTTCCAAGTAGCTGGAATTACAGGGCATGCACTACCACGCCCGGCTGATTTTTTTATTTATTGTAGAGATGAGGTCTCGCTGCCCAGGTGGGTCTCGAACCCACGGGCTCAGGCCATCCACTCACCTCAGCCTCCCAAAGGTGCGTGATTACAGGCTGAGCCACTGAGCCCGGCTCAACTTTCCTTTAAAGGCCACCACTTCTCTATTACCAATCCTTCAAACAACCCTTATAACAACCCTGCCTCTCTGTGTGCGTGTTTTCCCACTTTCCAGTCTCTATGCATCATTTTGCCATCCTATAGCCCCTTTTTCCCGAATGGCACAATCACGCAAGGCAGGAACCACTTCCAATGCTTAGAAGCAGTTAAAAGAAAATGTATCTTGATATTATATGTAAAACCTGGCCCTAAAATAAAGCCTTTATTAAACTCTTACTCTTAGCAGAAACAAAACATGCAGTAATATTCTTAAAACATTTTGAAAACTTTTCTGTATTTGAGATTGTATCTAAATTATTTTAGATAATTTTATTTTATATAGGAATACTTTTATGTATATATAAATATATTGTATATTTTATATTTGTATGTTTTAACACATTTGAGGTTATTTTAGATTTGGCAATGTTTTATTCAAAAATAAAATTTATTTATAATATGTTTTCTTGTACTTAAGAATGGATCACTGGTTTTAAAAGGGAGAACTAAAAGATTTGATGTCTCATTCCACAGCTGTTTCATCAGGAAAAGATGAAACTGATACATCGGAGAAGTCTCTGACACATGAAATAGAAACACCTCCAGAAAAAGTAGCCTAAGATGCAAATAAAAGGCAAAAAACCTGAGGAGAGTTATTTTCCCTTGGCTTTACAGATGTTAATGATTTGCCTTACTGAGTCATGTGCAACGATGGTGCAAGTTAACTACAATGCCAATTTTGAGACCGATCGTTCACAGTCTAAACGAAAAGGAGCCAAATAACATAAACATAGATGTGATAAATTAATATCTCATCAAGAGATCTGTGCTTCTGCCTCAGAGCGACTCTGGATCTCCTGTGCTGCCTGTCTTCTTCTAGAATCAGCACCAGCAAAGCACGGAAGAAGATCTACGGGAAGCTCAGGCACGTGCACAAGCCGTACACGTACAAATACTTAGAGTAGCGAATAACTATTTGAATCTCACAGTTTTTCTTGGAGCAACTGTCAGTGCAAAAGCAATAGTGGGTCACAGCTATGCCTCAGCACCAATCAAAGCCGGCTCCATCTCTACCATCTCCATCTCCACCATCTACATCACCTTCACAGTCATATTCTCCACTGCCACATACTCACAGTAAAACACTATCAGTTCACACAAGAACGTTTGGTGAAGCAGCAGAAAACAGTGATTTATTGAATTGTTACCCTCAAGAACATTTTAAAAAATCTGTATGGTGAAAAAAAAGGTATGCATAAAGCACTTCTGCTTCATAACAAAAAAACGATGGCTGCCTGGAGAAAAGTACTCCCTTTCTACAACTACAAAGCTGAAAATTCACCTGACCGTTTTTTTTACCCCCCATGGAAATTTACTCGAAAGAATGACGAGCCATCAAGCTATTCACACTTCGGCATCTGGCACATACTTTCTCAAAAAGCTAGCTAAGTGACCGGTCACCCCAAGGAAAACAACTGACAGTATTTGCAGCCTGTGATAAATATCAGCTTTTAAGTAGGAATTAGAATCTTGAAAAATCTGTGTCTACCAACATGAACTTGACAGCTTCCCAATACTTAAAAATATTTCTGATGAAGTCGGTAGTGACAGTAATGACAGGTTTTGATACTGTATAATGAAATATGTCAACGTTGGGAAGATATACATAACTCAATGAACCAAGATTTCGCAAATTAACCATGCATAATGCTACAAAAATACACACACACAAAAAGATCCAATAAAAGTGCAAGACAGACCAATGGGTTTTACTTAATGTAATACGGTATGGAGAGATAATTGATATAATCTCATATTCTACACTGCAAATAATCTTTAAGAAAGGACCATTTCCAAGTTTTGGTGAGACATCAAAGCAGAATTATTCACAACGATCTATGATGAAAACATTCGTGTTTTTCCAACTATGTATCTATATGGGGCTGGATTTTTTTTATATACTTAAACCAAAACAATACACCCCACCAGACTAACCAGACTAAATACAAAAATACAGTTTCAAAAATTTGTTTTAATTTTGAATACGGTAAATATTGATAAGTATAACCCACATTTTAAATAAAGCTCTTTGGTACCCTCAATAATTTTTAAGAGTATAAAGGAGTATTGAGACCAAAAGTCTGAAAATGGATGTAGCATAGCATTTCCAAAGCACTGAAGTATGCTAAGAAAATAAAAAAACGACATTGAGTGACAGAGGAAATGAACATGACTTACAGCAAAAAGGCCTCATTTACAGCTTCGAAGAACTCTGGCCAGAGAATTTCCTGAGGTTCATGTCCATGGTAGGTGAGTAGTGCTTCCACCAGGGGTTCAACATCTGGCAGAGTAACTAGGGGGACACAAACTCGTGACAGGGACAGCACTCGTTCAGGAGCCATTCTGTAGAAGAAAAAAGAAATAATTACTCAAATCTGAGAACCACAAGTAATTAAGACATATGAAATCTTCATGCTGAAAAGGTCAATGGTAGGTCACCTGTTCTGCCCCTGACATAAAGAGAACTACTGTAACACCATCGATAAACTTTTTTTTTAAAGTATTCAAACAAAGTTTACTAGAGAAAGAAGAGAGAAAATAAAGGGAAACATGATGAAATCTTTTCTTTTTTATTATAAAGATGTGGGGTACAACTCAGGGTTGGGTATACAAACGTTGATTATGCAGGTGCCCTTGCTGATGAGGTGTGCCCCTCCCTTCCCTGGCAGTTTCCCTCAACTGCCAATCCCATCCCCTTCCCCTGACAGTTTCCCACTACTGCCAATCCCTTTCTTATAGTATTATAATTGTTCAAGGTTCGCTTATGAGTGAGAACATATGATACTCTGTTCTTTGTTTCTGATAGATCACTGAGTATGATAGACTCCAAATCCATCCAAGTTGCTACGAAGTCCATATGTTTGTCTTTCTTTATGGCTGCATAATATTCCATTGTGTGTATGTACCATATTTTTTTAATCCAGGCCAGCTTCAATGGGCAACATGGTTGGTTCCATATTTTTGCTATTGTGAATAGAGTTGCAACAAACACACGTGTGCAGGTATCATTTTTGTAGAATGATATGAGTTCCTCTGCGTACATTCCCAATAGGAGAATTGCTGGGTCATATGGAAGGTCAATTTCTAGTTCTTTCAGAAATTGCCACACTGTCTTCCAGAGAGGTTGCACTAGTTTGCATTCCCACCAGCAGTGTAGAAGCGTTCCTTTTTCTCCGCATCCTCACCAGCATCTGTTGTCTGTTT